CAACCTACACAGTGCACCGCACCTTGTGGTCCCGCTTACAGTACCTCCTTCAATGTTTTTCTGGGCTAGGCATTGGAAGCGGAGCCAGTTTCGGATTTGACAGTTTCTTTGGAGACGCTGGAAATGGAACTGGTTTTGGCAATGGCTTCTTTTTTGGACCTCCTGTGAATCCTGCCGGAAGCACTTCCCAGTCAGGTATTTGGAGCAGTTCTCTGCACTCAGCTGGCTTTCTCTATACACATTAGGCTCGCGAACTGGGCTGTACATCCAGTTTCGTCCCTGAGGGCCATGTTATCTGTGCTGAGAGCTGCACACACGCTGCGGGGATTCTGTTTGCTCGGAGGTGTGCAGAAATCCCCACCCTCGGCAACCCGAACGCAGATCTCTCCTTGATGTATGAAGCTGGCAGGAAATCGGGTGAGGGAAGGAAGATCGGGGCATCCCTTTGCACCCTGTTATGGGCCCTCAACTGTTGGGGTGCAGAAGAGGCATCTAGTCTGATTGAACTCCATCCTTGCATGCTGGGAGGGATGGAAAGCCATGTGTGGGGGACCCCCTATTGCTAGGAGGGCTGGTGGAGTCCACCAGCCCCATAATCCACATCGCAGCTAATCAGTAACCTTCTTACTCCTGTTCTCTTGCTGTAGATGCAAGGTACCTGGTTCTGAAGGTCGACCTGGTTTCTTCCCTGCCACCAAACAGCTCCCTGATCGAGCCACTTCTGGCCGAGGTGAGTGGCAAGGAGAGAAACTGCTATGAGGCCCCTGTACGTGGTTTTCATGCGCAAAGTTCAACCCGAGTAAATGTGTGGGCCAGGGGAAGAGGCCCTGCTTCACACCGGCCGCACTTCCAACGCTTCTGGGTGCACGCTAGCATTTCTTTCTAGATGCTTCCCAAGTACTCTCCTCGCTCCGCAGAACACTTGCCTGCCAGGTGGCCGTGCACCGGCCAGGGAATCTTGCACACGCTGCTGCAAGGTTACTTTTCACCCATGTGCCACGCATTGCCCCTGCTAGACCCATTACTTGGGGACCTGTGTGACGCAGGAGCAATGCTCTTCTGTAGCTCAGAGGCCCTAGCCTGTGGCTTTCCAACTTCCAGTTGGCCAGCCCTTTCTGGGCCATGAAAAGTGAAAAGAAAGCATCTCTTCCACAAACTGCCAAACCTGTTCTGCCATGGAAAAGAGAAAAGGATGAGGTTGGTTCTTTGTTAGAGAGCAGTTCCTTACTCCTACAGAAGTTCAGGAGAGCTGAACCAGCAGCTTCAATAGAAATTAAATTTTATATATCCCCTTGCATACCGGAATAAGTGTTGGACTTCTCCACAGTCCATCTTTCCGTAAGCGAAGGACCATCCCTACTGAGAATCACAGGAATTTTCCCCAGTCAAAGTGATTATTTTTGCACAACACTCTTAAAACAATTCCTTTGCAGATCAGAAGCCGAGGCACGTGGGTCCCCCAGACTAAGCTCTGGACCACCACCAGTCATGCGCACTCACCCCCAGGAGTCACCCACAGCCCCTGCCCCCCATCATGCCTGGCCCACTGCTTCATCCGGAGGCACATCACACCACGGATGCAGAAGTGAGCAAGAGGGGATAGAGACTATAAAAGCCCATCCAAAAGCATTCCATGCCGAGGCAGAACCAGCCGTGACTCCTCTGCAAGACGCTGGAGCATCACAAAGGGCACGATGCTTCGCTCTGGCAGAAGACATGGTGGCTCCCTGCCCAGAATACGCACATGAACGAACAAGGAGCCTGCTCGGGGGCTTCCTGAGAGCAGACACCCCCCTTCCAGGAGTGCACCCTGCATTCTGCCCTGGCGACTCAATGCTTTGGGTGCACAGCCCCCGTTCCTTGTTCAGCACGCATACATGGGCCCCCATTGTCTTTCTGGGTGCCTGCATGCGTCCTGGTGGGCGGGGGAATCTTCAACTCTACATCACAGGCTGGACCAATCAATGAGAAAAAGGTCCTGTGGAATAACGTGGTGCTGTATATGGGAAGCGCTCCAGAAAGAAACAAACCAACCATGTGCACCCTTGTCTCTCTGAAGCTTTTGTTTAAGTGCGACTCTCTGCGTGCTTTTCTTTTGCATTTGCCAGGCAAGACAGCTGCTGGAAACTGGATTTTCCACAGGCGCCTTCCAGCTGACCTGGGTTGAGTATGAAGCGAGCACAGAGTGACGTGCTTGCAGGCCACCTGGGCACCTCCGCAAGAGAGGAGAAACAGCAGCACCGACTCCTTGCGAGAAGAGCGAGCCAGAAAATGGGATGGTGTTGGGTGGAGGCAGAAAAGCAGAACGAGTGCAGTAGGGAACGACTCAGAAAAGTGCCGCGGCCAAGCCCAGGACGACTCATGCCTGAGGAACACCCCCAAAGCTCTCTTTGCAACGGTTAAAACTATCTGCATTTCAGAAGACATACAAACAGTTCGCCATCTTCACATGGTAAAAAGAAAATTCGATGTGATGGAATGCCTAAGGGCCTAATCCTGTGAATGTTTGGACAGAGAAAGTCCCACAACTTCCGTGTCACAGGGGCCACGCTGGGAGCTGCAGGCCTCTGTGCTTTCTGCCTGGCCATTCTTACAACGGTTCTTGCACCGTGTTTATACCCTACCTGTCTGCCTCTTGCAAGGAAACCAAGGTGGCTCACCTGGTCCCCTCTCCCTTTCATCCTCACAACCACCACCCAAGATACAGGTTCACAAAGGTCACTTTTCCACCCAACTGGTTATTGGGAATTCTATCCAATTCGGTACCGGACCAGCTATAACCTGAAGCTAGTGCAGAAGAGCCCTGTGACATGCGGCTCTTCTTGTTCAGTCCGTTACCTGAGGTGTGCCCAGACCTTGTGTGGGTGTGTGTGTTTTATGCCAGGGTTGCAAGCTTGCCCAGCCATTAAGATCAGGCTCAGATTCCCACACCGACTAGAGGAAGGCAGAGGGTGCGTGGAGACGGGGAACTTTTCTACACAGGGCTGTTAGTTGGCCAACTCTGGCTTCTTTTTCACTGCAGAACTGAGATCTGAGCACTAAACCATCTTCCCTATGGTTGTCCTATATAATTCGTAGGTGACACTGTGGAATAAAGCAAATCTACAAGAGGAAATTGCACGGTTTTCATTTTCACAATTAAATGCCACCTTTTCCTTGCTCTTAACAGTTTTCAGAAAAATGTTGCTTAGAAACCAAAGTGAAATTGGAAAGTCACTTTGTTGTCTCGGGTAAACAACCATGAGTGCTGAATTACCGGTGCGTGATAAACGTGCTGGGTAGAAAAACTCAGGGCCCTTCTCATTTGGAATGCCAGATTTATGGAACAACCTTCCCAAAAAGGCTCACCTGGTTTGAAAAGCTTTATTTGACCAGGGCATTAAATGCCTTCAATTGTAGATTTGTTTTATTTTGAATCTTTGCTGTAAAGCTGCTCACTACGTGATTAACTGCTCTGTTTTTAGTATTAGTGACTACCAGTGGTATTTGTTCACTAGAATGAAGAAGGCCAGTGTGGCATGACGATGGGAACGCTGGACCGGGGACCCAAGAGAAAGAGAGTCAGAAGGGGCCTCCCAGGCCATCTAGTCTGACCCCTGGCTCCAGCCAGCTCCGCTCACGACATGCCCACCAAGAGATCTGGGTTCTTGTCCCCACTCAGTCATGAATCCCAGTGGGTAACTTTGGGCCAGTCAGACTCTCGGCCTTTCCTCCCTCCCTCCCTCCCTCCCTCGCAGGGCTGTTGTGAGGATAAAATGAAACTCTGTAAGTCACCCTAGGTTCTTCACAAGAAGAAAAATGGTGGGATATAAATGCAGTGCAGTAATAATAATTGGGTTTTCGCATGCTAATCTGAGACGCTTGTTCAGCAGCTAAAGAGCAGGGTGAGAAAGTCCTGAATAAAAGAAAACGTGCCCATCCATCCCATAGTCACCGCATGGCTGGTCTCAGGCACAGGGCTCACGGCGTCCACGGGCTCCCTAGGATCTGATGGGGAGAGAAAGCGAGCTGGCATCATCAGCATATATATTGCAACCCAACGCAGATCTCCGAACGATCTCATCCCATAAGGAGGCATTAAGCAGAGAGGCATCCCGAACCGTATGACACTTCCCAAGCTCCAGACCACACAGTGGACCAACAGCACCACCTTCTGACCCTCCCCATCAGACAGGGGAGAACTGCCTGAACGTGCCGCGTCTTGGGACGCCCAGTGCCCGCGAGGCACCCAGAGGGGCACGGAAGCCCCCGTCCTCCAGCGCAGGGTAGTCAAGGTGTGTCCGCCAGGAAAACGCAGAGCTAGCGGGAATGTTACCTTGGGACCGAGATATCCTGGCACCAAGGCAGAACGAAACGGAACCTCTCCTCCACATCACTTAAAGTAGAGCAGGATCTGTTCGAATGCAGACGGGACTCACGTCCTGCTCGAAATCCCGGACCATGCGTGTTTTGCACCCTACCGCTTCGAAAGGTGCCCCTTCGGCTACGTCACTCTGATCCGCACGCATTTGCCCTACGAGTGGGTGGAGGGGGATTGCTCGGGAGGTGCGATGTTTAGGCCAGAGCGAAGGGAAATGTACTGGGCGGAGGTGGTTTGGGAAGCTGGAATGTCTCAGTTCAAGCAGTTGGCGCGTTTGGGCCCAGGGCGAAGGGGAGCTGAGCTGTTAAGTTTAGAGTCGGGTTGGGGGAGTGGTCCCCAAGCTTTCTGGGCCCAGAGGCTCGTTTGGGAATTTGAGAAACTGCTGTGGGCACCACCGTGGAAGCCAGTGCGTCACTGCCTGGGTGCCTGCCAACGACTCAGGCTACCAGAAGTTTGGTTCCTACTGGGTCCCGCAAGGCCACCACCAAACTCTTGATGGCTGAGTCTGGGTTCAGCTTCCAGACTGGGGAAATACCTGAGGTTGCAGTTCAGAGCGTTCCTAGAAAAGGCACGTCCCGTCATTCACACTCCAAACGGACAGCTCAACTTTCATTACTGCAGAGAGAGGCTGAGTCCAAACTGCTTAAAGTTAAAGTTTATTTTGTAATTCTTTGTAGGAATATCAATAAAAGACCTCAAATGTATCTATATCTGTACATATACAAGAAACTGTCCAAAAATATTCACAGAACAAAAATAAATCTTCTTTAGAACAAACCCAGACAATGAAATGCAAAAGTGGATCTTGGAGACCCAAAAAGTCCAGCAGTACTGGCATAAAAACACAGGTCGTGGGGAGGGAAGGTACTATGTTAAGGGAGAAACCATGAGGAAATAAATTATTGAAAGCTAGCGTTGCAGAAACAAAGAATCCAGTCAGATAACATTCTCATTAAGGCCCTGGAGAAAGCAGATCTACTGTACGGGTAGAATTCAACATTGGTGCCACCGACACAGCCCCCCTCCCTCCCGCCCTGCCTGCCTTCTAAGGGAGACAAAAGGAATGGAGAGAATTTCTCTACACCGAGATACAAAGCGACGTGGGCGGGGGCCGGGGGGGGGGTCATCACAGCTCACAGCTTTGCACTCCGGAAGCCCAACACCTTCTGCGGCTCAGAGAGGAACCTCTTCCCCAGTTCAGCCCTGCCCCACCTGGAGGCATCGTCCGTACGGAGAGGTCTTGATCTCTCCTTCATGAGCGCCATCCATCCACCCCGCTCCAAATCAGGGGCATCGGAACATGTGGGGCAAGAGGAAGCCGGAACGGACTGCTCGGTCTTCCCCTCTCCTTCCATGTAGCCGCCCCACTAGGCAGCCTGGGCTGCCGACTCCGTGGTCAACGTGCCGATTCACACGTGTTTAAAATCTAGGGTTTGAACAAAGCATCTGATGGCTGAAAAAATAAGCTTATTGCCTACAGTGCTGTCCTTTTTTTCTTACTGTGGTTGTACAACACCACTGCAGAAGTTAAGGACTTAATTCAACCTTGAATGCATGGGGCTTTTTGTTTTTTTGGAAGAATACGGCCCCACGGGGCTAAGAACACGACCGCACTGCTGAAGGCACAAGGGGAAGGGCCCGCCACCCCGAATCCTGCCAAGACCACCCTGCTGCGATTCTGAGAGGGGTGCGTGTGCCTGCCAGTGGTGGGAAATGAAGGCATTGATCCCAGTTAACCTATTTATTAGCAAGGTTTTGTAATAGCCACAAAGAAAGGTGTGTACTAGAGAAAGCTTTTTATGCACATGATTTCGTAATAGAAATCTGGGGAAAAAATAACAATTTGCTGCTATCGCATAACTGCACTCTTCTGCCATTTATCAAACTGGCTTTCCTACAGCTAGAAGTCTGTAATTCTGTGCATGGGAAAATGCTACACTGACAAACTTTTTTAATTTACATATTGGACAAAGTTCTTGATATACAGTGAAGTCAAATAAAACACAAGACCTTCTCCCTTGCTTTTCCAGTGTTACAAATCAGGAATTAGTGATCTAAAAGGGCAAAGAATGCCAAGAAATCTGAATTATAAGAAATCGGACTGAATTTGAATGTGTATTGTTAAATCTCCATAAATGCCAAATACTTCAAGGCTCTGCAAACCAAAGATACGGGAAGAACACTGGAATAGCATTTGTAAAGCTTTAGTGTTGAGCTTAAATGTAGCGGTAAAAGAAAGCCTGCACGGACTCTTCCGGTGGCATTAAGATGCTAAGGCTGGCAGCCACGCGTGGGGCACCGGCAGAGGCTGGAAGAGTCGGGCAGATGCACTGAGGCCGGCACATCTGGCAATTAACCTGCCAGATGTTAGTGAACAGGGTGCAGATGATTTGGGAGAGAATGGGGTGCTATTTGTAATCACACATTTTCCTCTTCGGGCCAAATCAGGGGGCTGCTGACGGAGCTGCATTTGTGGAGTCAGCTTCCAAGCAATCACCACAAAAGTGGAAATGCAGGACATGCCTGGCGGGGTCCCTCGCTCCGGCCGCTCGGCTGCCCCTTGGCTGCCGTGCAGGGGCCCCTGCCGGAACCCACGGGGGCCAAAGGCTTGCTTTGGGAGGGGCAGGGGTGCGGCTGCAGGGGAAGCATGAGCAATGGGCATCCGCTCAGCGCTTCTCTGTGCTGGCTGCCCTCCTCTACTGCTTGGCTGCCAGAGACTCGTGCGGGGAAGGATGCGGGCAGAGGCCTGGGGAGCAGGCAGGAGAGTCCTAGGCGCACTAGGCCCGGCTTACTATACTCTGGAGTGAATTCATGCACAATCATTTAAAAAACCCCGCGTATTGCAGGGCTTCCTGCTAGCGACGAATCCTTAGGAGAGGCACTCCGACTTCTGGAACTGGGGGAAGACTGCACAGAAGCGGGGGATCCACCGGACGGTCTGTGGCTGGAGGAGAGGGCCGGGGCAAAGGGAAGGGGCTGGCCGTCGGCAGGTGCCCAGGGGGCCAGGGGGCAGTTCCCCACCCCGGCCGAGCGCGCCCGTTCGCAGCTGCTTGGCAGTGACGTGGTTTTGACACTGGGCAGCGACTGTGTCCCGCACAGGATGCAAGGAAGAATGTTGTTAAGGAACACAGAGATTTAGTGAGATGTTTTCCTACCAGCTGCCAAAATTGTTATTGTAAAGAAGACTATAGTAAGAACAAGGGGAAACGCTTAGTTGGGGAGCGATGAAGAAAAGCTGATTGCTCTTACTCAGGAGTGGATGAACAAGACAAGTTCTGCACGTCTATTTCTAGAAAAAGGGCAGCCACTTGAAGCCATGTTTTGGAATGAAAACAAACCTGAAGAAAGGGTATGATCACACATACTGCTTTAATGTAGGTAATTAACAAACTAAAATAACAGAAGGGTTTTCTTCATTTTATGGGTGCAATTTACATATTATATCACTAGAAACCTTAAACTTTTCAATAAAAGTTAAAAAAAAAACCCAATAAATAAAAAGAGAAAGAGATTTCCTATGTGGGGGAGGGGGAATGTTTTGTAATGGTGGGGTGGAAGGAACTGCCCTGATACTGTGCAAACAGCCTCCGTGAATGCCTTGGGACCAGGGCTGGAGTGGGGAGCGCAGGGGCTCGCAGCGTCCCTGGAAGTAAGGAGGCCACAATCCGCGGAGGGCCTCTCTGTGCTCGACCCAGAGCTTCACAAAGCATCCCTCTTTAGAGCAGGAGGCTCCGGGGTCACTTGGGAAATGGTGATGCGAGAACAGTGACCGACACAGCGCTTTCATCCAGCCATCCCCTGCACTCGCCGACTGCGCCGTTCTACTCCTGGTGGGCCCTCTGGCCAGCGGTCAAGCGCAGGCGTGGCTTCTCCCCCAGAGCTGCCCGGTCAGCTCGCTGGCAGCATGAGGGCCCTGCATCCCATGCTGGCAGCCTGCTCCAGCTGTGGCCACACCGCCCTCGGCCACGGCCAGCCCAGCGGAAGCTGCTGCCACGCTCCTGCCCCCGGAGAGGCAGCGTGGAAATGCCGAGGTGCCAGCTTTGGGAAGGAGTTCCTGACTCTCCCTTGCAGCTTGGAGGGACTCTCAGGCCAGCCTGTATCTGTGCGGGGGGGGGGGGGGGGCCGGCCAGCCGGCTGGGGAGGTGCCACACTGGTCCGTGGTCCCGGCATCCCTGTTCTTGGACTTCCCTGAGGCTTCCGGCTCCAAAGCAGGTGGCCCCGGGAAACACCGAGGGAGTCTGGGGACCTGGCATGGAGCAGGGGGAGAGGAAAGAGAAGCTGGCCGCCTGGTTGGTGCGAGGAGTTGCTGTTAGCAGCTGCTGTTTTTAAATTCACCGTTCTCCGTGATGGAAAGCTTGGTGGGGTTGGTGGGGGAGATGCCGTTCCGGGCCTGCATGCTGTAGTGTTCCTTCACCTGGGTGAGGGCACTCATTAGCCGTGTGTTGGCCGAGTCCAGGGAGAGGATCCTTTTTTCCTGCAAGGAAACACACAGTGTGAGGTCGGCACTGTCCGGGTTTGTCACAGAACGGCCTTCGTGGCTTCAGGACCTGCAGGATCCGTGTCTCGGGGTGCCATCAGATCTTTAGGGAGTCCTTCCTAGGCTGACCCAGCCTACAAAGAGCTCTGCAGAAGGACAGAGTGAGCTTGCCTCTTTCTGCTGTCCGGCTTCTCTTCTCTGGAAACTGCCAATTAATTAGCCAGTTTGGAAAGCTAATTCGGTGGTGGATTAGGTAGGAACTTTGAGGCAGAAGCTGGCAGGGAAGCTCCGAAAGGCTTAAGGGTTAGTCTTGGCAGGCAGGAGAACAGAAAAAGGCAGTTGACCGGGATGAGTGTGCGATCGTTCTAGAGGGCAGGCAGCGTGGACGGACCCCGGGAGACGCCAAAGATGCCTTCCTGGAGCGTCCCTGCAGCACACGGAACAGTTTTACCGCCAATAAATGCCAGCAGTGTAAAGGAGCAGGCGCGACATGGTGGGGAGGGGGTGGCAGCCAGAAGCTGGTAACGAGGAGTTACGAATGAGCGGGGAAGGGAGGGGAGGGGAGGGGAGTGTGAGGAGGGTGGGGGGAGTGAGGGATGGTATGCCATTGCCAAGACACAGAAACCACACGGGGCGCCTGGCTCCTTGGACCCATTCCAGCTCGGTCACTCCAGGGCTCTGCACGACCAGAAGGCGCTTCCCGCCGTTGGCTCAGAAACGGGGGCTCCTCATTCCAGGAATGGAGGCCGAGGGGCGCGAGGGAGGGCCAACACGGAGGCAGTCGGCGCTGCGGGAGGGGAGGGCCACTTTGCCGAAGCTCCTTTTGACACCCAAGCGGCAACGGGGGGCCTTTTGGTGGGAAACCGGAGCTCTCTTCCAGCATCCGCTTCAGCAGCCACCGATGCAGCATGCAATCGCCCTGCCAGCCAAACGCAGACGAGGGAAGGAGGAACGAGGGACGGAAGGGCACAGACAGGGAGGAACGAGCGAGCCGTGTCCCTTGGAAGGCAACGGCACTCGGCCTGCTCGGTGCCGCTGTGCACGCTCCGCTCTGCCCACATGAGCCCCGCGAAAAGGGAAGGGAAGGAGGCAGCCCAGCTGCCGTGAGGGGCCGGCTGGACCGGCTGCGCCCCTCCGGGGGAAGGTCCCAGCACAGCGCCTGCGCCGAGGACACTTCCCCCCATGGGGGCTCAGCCGGCTCAGCTTCTGTGGAGCACGCCAAGCGGGTCCCACGCCTCCGCACGGCAAGTGGGGAGCGGAGGAAAGGGCGGCACCGGGGCTTGCAGAGGCTCGAGGCGTCCAGAGTGCCCGCCCGCTGGCTGCCGGTGATCAGCGTGCAGCTGGACTGTCTTGCCGGAGGACGGAGCAGTCATCTTAGCACGGAGCCTCGGAGGTGTGGGCAGCCTGGGCTCCGTGGAGCCTCAAGCTGGCTGATCTGCTCCCCCAGTTCTCTCCTGGCGCACCCCAACACGCAGGCTAGGAAGAGCCGCTGCAGCCAACACCCTCGGAGCCGCCGGGCAATCGCCCAGCAGCGTCCCGAGGGCAAGCCTGGGCCAGCGGTTTCCTCTCGCTATGCTTCCAGGGCTCCTGTGAAGGCAGAAGATGCCGATCATGGGCCTTCCCTGTTTACCTGGAGGCACGTGACAAAGAAGCGCCTGTCGCGCAGGAGTTCCCTCTCAGTGCCTGCTCTGAGATGGCGCCGGAGGGCCTTGGTCCCCGGCGCCACGGAGGGGGGTTGACTGGGCGCAGGTCACTGCCGGCACAGGCTCGGTGCAGCGCGCAGACGGGTGCTTCAGCGAAGAGCGTGCCTTGCCGCTGAACGCCACCCAGCCCCTCCGTGTGCCACGTGCAGACCCCCCTCAGCCCCCCCGGCAACCTGCCTACGACTGGCTGCGCTCTGGCGTTCATGGGACGTTCCTCAACAGCACAGACTTGCACTGAAGACCGGAAGTGCTCTAGAAGGGACCGTCAGTGCCGGCCGCAACGCTCTTCCCAAGCCGCCGTCTAGTGTGGACTCTGCTTTCGCCAACGGTACGCCCCCCTCCCGCCACTGCTTTGGTGTGACATCCGTGTGTGCGAGTCGATGCTCCCCCCAACCCCCCGCAAACAGATTGGTCTGGAGGGCCTGTGCTTGGGAGGGGACGGAGCGGGGTGCTGGCGCCCCGCTCACGCAGAAAGCAGGAGCAGGGTGGCCCGCGGGCGCTGCCACCACACCGGGGGCTCAGGGAGTGGCGGGAGCTGGAATGCGTGGGGGAGGCGAGTGCGCCAGGCCAGGATGGGGTGGTGCTCAGCTAGAGAACTGATCGGGTGTACTTGCCTGCTTGCATTATCTCATCCCCATTTAAGACCTGCAATTCAACACAGGGTGACGTCACTCGCAGATGCAAACGGAAGCTCGGCACACAGTGAAGTGCTGCTCAGCCTTGGTGGGGGGCACGGGGGGCATCCGGGCTCCCCCTCCCCACTGGCGGAGAGAGGCCGGCTGGCAGCAGGGAAACGGCCAGGCTGGGCAAGCGGGCGCTCTCCTGCCCCTCCTGGTTGCGCACGGCCGACCGAGGGTGCTCGGCTTCCATGCACTGGGGAGGATGAAGCATGGGTCCTGCGAAGGGCGAGCCACGCGCTGCGCATGAAGCCCGCAGGGATCCTGCCGGGCACTTCTGCCTTGCACAGGGCCCTTCCCAAAGGGGGGAGAACAAAGCCCTTCTTCTGCAATGGTTACCCGGAAGAGATCTACACTCACCCCAGGAGAGCAGGCAAGCAGCTGCTGTTTAAAGCCAGGCATTTTTCACTGGATTTAAATCGAGCAAATTCGCATGGAAGACGCAATGCCTAACCCATTAAAAAACCCCCAATTTTCCTTCCCCAGGGCATCCTAAAATCCTGAATGAAAAGAACATTCATATAAACATCTATTTAAAATAATAAAAACTAAACCAAGGCTAAGTGTGCCCTTCAATAGGGCTGCCCCAACCCTTACCCCCTGAACCGGGAGGACCACAGGTGGCAGGATCGTGGGGGCGAGGACTGCCCCAGTGCGCCTCCCACCCCCCAAGCAGTCCTCAGTTTTGGTGCTTTGCTCCTGCTTGGGGGAGGGAGGCTGCGGCACCGCTGGGATTCCTCGCAGGAAGGCAGCGTCTCCCCCACAACGCCCGCTCCGCGTTCGCCATCGCAAGAGCACAACAGCCGCCGGGACAAAAGAACTGCAGCCACTGTGCCGGCGAAGGAGGGCGCTCCGAACGTGGAGCCCAGCTCTGACCCTGAGGGCCTTCCTGGCCACTGCAGGAGTGCCCGAGCCCCGCCTGGTCAATACGCTCGGGCCGCACGTGGCTTGCTCTTAAGAGAGAGCCATTTGGTGCAGACGGCTGATCTTTACGCATGTTTATATGAAATGTTGTGCGCCATTATTTCATAATGCCCCCGAGGAAGGAAACTGGTTTTCTGAACTGTGCCATAAATTCAGGGATGCATCAGGGCTGTCCCCTGCTTGGTCCCAGCTGCATCCATCTTCCTTCCGTGTGCTCTCCCTCGGAGTAAAGGGAGGCACCACCGTGCAGCTTCTGGGCAGACTGGCCAATGGGCCTCTGCTGCTGGGCACAGCCAGGGGAACGCGGCAGCGGCCGGAGGACGCCACGCCAGCGGTTTCCCGGCAAGGATGAGCTCCCAAGCAAGGGCCCTTCCCTAGGCACAAGGTCTCACCTGCCCAGCGTACAGGAGGAGATCAAAGCGATGACTTCATGCGGTCCCAGTCCTCTTCTCTCCTGGCTGAGCAAGTGAGAGCACCCAAGCGGGAGGCACAGGAAGTCCGAGCAAAGCCTCGCACCCGCTGCACAAGAGCACGCGAGGGGAACGGCACGTGCCCGCACGCATCTCTGCCTCCCGGTGCCAGCTGGGGCCGCATCCAGAGCTGCGCCTCCTCGTCCAGAGGCACTCCGCCACGGCGCCCTCCCGGGGCTGCCGGGGACGGGTGTGCTTCGGAGAGACTTGCTTCGGGCTCTCCCAAGCCAGCAGGCACCCCCTGGGGAGGGAGATGGCCCGACCGAGGTGCCACCTCGGGCATTCCTCACGAGCCGGTCACGGGACACACCTGGACGGGGCCGCGGCCGCCGGGCCTGGGGGCGAGAGCCCGCTGCTCCTTACCTGGGCGTCAATTATTTTCTGCTTCGTGTCGATGACGGCCTGCATTTCCGCGTGGTCCTTCTTCAGCTCCTCTTCCACGGCCATCAACCTGGGAAGGGAAAGCACATCAGCGCCACGCCTGGCTGCGTCTCGGGGCATCGCAGAAACACGATGCCCTGGCGTCTCTGTGCCTGGCTCAGGCCAAACCTGCCTTCCTCAGCGGAGCAGCCGGACGAGCCCCGGGGCCTTCGCAACAGCCGCCCAAACTCCGGGACGACTGGGGATCCACAGGAAGAGGACAAGGCGGGCTGGCGTCTGCAGCCCGCAATCCTCGCCCGCTTTAGTGTGGCCCCACCAAATGCTGCCGCGGAATAACCCCCGCAACTCGTTCCCCAGCTCTGCCGCCGGGGCTCTGCCGCCCTTGGGTTGAGCGGTTGAGCCCTGGTCTGTGTGCAAGACGAGCCCCCCCAGGATCTGCAGGTGCCCGGCGCGGAGCCCCGCCACCCCGCCCAGCGGGCGCCCCAGGCCACCGCTCACCGGCTGATGATGCTCTTCATCTGGCTGTCCTTCTCCTCCTGCTGCCGCCGCAGCCGCTCCTCGCTGTCCTCCAGCCTGGCCTTGTACTCGAGCAGCAGCTTCTGCATGTGCTGCTCCTGCACCAGGAGGCGCTGCTCGTACTCCTCCAGCCGCCGGCTGGACACCCGCAGGCGGTCCTTCAGCTGGGCGATCTCCTGCTCGTACTGCAGGGGGGGGGAGCGGGAGGGAGGGGGGCGGCAGGCGCTGCGTCACAACGGGCTGAATGGTTTTCCCCGGGCTCAGGGCAGCACACGGGGAAGGCAACGCACACAGAACAATCACAGGAACCCCGCTCTCTCTCGAAGGAAGCGGCATCCAGAACAGCGAAGCGGCCAGCCAAAGCCAGGTCACGCGGAAGGCGCCTCGGCCGCGCCCTGCACAAGGGCAGGGACGATGGTGCTCGGCAGGGACCGACTTCCCCTGGATTCCCCCTGGAGCTGGCACTGGTGGCATGTGGGGCAGCCTGCACGGGGGGCTCTCCGTGCCCGTGTGCCAGCCGGGCTGCAGAGGGCTCTGCTCATAAGCAGCAGCAGCAGCCGGAGCTACGGCTGCCTGGCAAGATGCTTGCAGCTGGGTGTGTTTGGAGCGGTTGCATCGCTGCCTGGCAGACGCTTCCGGGAGGCCTGCAAGGGCCGCCCCAGGCAGCAAGCGCTGCGGCAGTCAGCCCCGCGGTGATGCCCAGGGAGGGGTGGGGCCTGCGAAGCGGTGCAGCCGGTGGAAGGGGCTCTTCACCAGCCCTGTGCCAGAAAGAGGAGCTTTGCTTAGCACTCCAGCTGGTTCCCACAGAGAAACGGTGATGGCACAGATCACCGGCAACAGAAAGTGAGGCTGCTACGGCCACCTCCGCCTCGGCCGGATTCAGCTGCCATCCGCCATCCCCAGCACGTCGGGCCACAGCTTCCGAGCGCCCACGCTGCGCACGGCAGCAGGACCCGGATGCTCGGTACCGACGATCGGAGCCAGCTCCCCTCAGCCTGCGGGTGAGCTTCCCGCTGGAGCCAGAGGGCCCTCCAGCAGCTTCCCGCACGTGGCGGGGCCCCAGAGCAGTCCTGCGGCCGTTACCTTTTCCGCATGCTTCACTTCATCCTGGTTCTGCCCCGCGTCTTCCTCCTCCTCATCATACTGTCCGTTGTTCAGGACCCAGGCAGCCGTCCTTTCCACGGGCGACATGGTGGCAGAGTCCACAGGGGACTGGATCTGCAAAGAGGGCACCGGAATGAGAGGCCGCTCGCGGGCTGTGGGGGAACCCCATCTGGTGAGCAACCCCGGCGACCGGCTGGGCCACACGCGCCCCAGCCTTGGCACGAGAGCCGCTTTTCCATGGCGCACTCACTCCACCGCCAAAATGCGAATGGGAAGGAAGGGCGTGGATGGGTGCCGGGCAATTATGGCATTCCTTCCCATGTAAATGTCAGCAGGAAAAATACCAGATCGTGCTGCCTGTTTAATTAATTCAAGCAGACAAAGGATCAATTAATTTTGCCCCCCCACCCCCTGCCCAGCCCTGCAGCAGCATCCTCAATAGCATTATTGTTCAGGTCAGACTAACGGGAGCAGAAACACAACGGAGAACCAGTCTGCGCTGCGGTGTACAGAGTGACTGATCGGAACGTTCCTGGTGCCTTAGCAGTTGGCCATCTCTTGCTGTCGTTGCTGGGTGCCGTCACGTAACCCCCAACTTATGCCCACCCCTGTGAATGAGGACCCTCCAAAACATCCTACCTACAACATCCCTGCTTGGCTGTTCAAACCCAAGGTGGTGTCTTCCTTGGGGGAGTCCGTCAATCTCATATTTGGCCTTTCTAATGTCAGGCTAGACTTCCCTGTAAAAGGTTCTTTCTAAGGTATGCTGTAATTCCCAGCACCTTTGGATAGGGTGGTGGTGGTGGCGGTTGTTGGCTGACATCTCACTTGGATTTGAAAGGCCTCGGTGTTACAATATTTCTGTTTGCTCTGAGTGTCGTGCCGCTATTTCACTCCAGTCTGCCCCCAAGTTTCAGCATCTGCTCAGGACTCTGCCCATGAACACAGCTGGGCAAGGCGACAGGGGGAGACTTTGACCAGGCTTGCTCCATGTTTTCAGCCTGCATTGCCTCTACCGTGCTAAACCTCCGAACACCTCCCTGAGACCCTCCATTCCAGTACGGGCCACAACTGAGAGCAGTCCTAGGCTATCAGAAAGGCGTTTTGGACTTCCTGGTGGCAGACTGCGAATTCCGCATTTGGCTACACCTAAACACCTGGTGGTCCCTCGTCAGAAATAAGGAACTGCAGCATCTCCTACTGGGAGGATTTTTTAGGATCGACCAGGGAGAACGCTGTTTCCAAAGCAGGGTTTCCCCTACTTCGTGGAACTACTGCGCAACGACACGGCTTGGGGGTATGAGGGCAAGGTGATTCTCTGTCTGCAGAAGGCCAGGTGCACGGCACGAAAGGCTGCTGGCAGGCCTCGCAGCTGATGGCGCGTCTCAGCTGCAGCCCTGCGGACAGAGCAGGTTGTCCGTATGGTGGAGACGGCGTTCCTCGCTCCTGCAACGCGGGATCACCTGCCGCCCAGGAAAGGCTGTGCGGAGTTCTGGTCCGGGGGATGCTCTGAGCAGGAGGAGGAGGAGGAGGAGGAGGAGGCGGACAAGTGGGGGCGGGGACCTTTAGTCTGCTCCGTTGTGCTTCTGCACACGCCAGAGTCATTTTTAGAATGAAGAAGCCCATTTCGGAAGCAGCCTCCTCACAGTCAGTGCAAATACCCTTTTCGTCTACCTGGAAAACCAGTGTGGCTCTGTTGGCACTGCGGAAAGCCAGCTGCGGAAAGGGCCAGTGCCGTGATGCTAAACGAGGGGGAATGGAAAAGCAGACCGAGGGCAACAGAAACGCCAGCCAAAAGGGGCCGCATTGAGCTGGTTGTGAGGATGGGAGAGCTGCTCTGCCGGATCAGACCAAGTCACATCCTGTCCTGCACACCTTCCCTATCAGAAGAAAAAGGCCCTTCTGAGAAGGTCTGATCCAGTCAATGGACTCATCCGGCTGAAGTCCCACACTCTCAAGCTGCCTGCATTCCAGCCTCTGGTTCTCAGAGTTTCTGCGATGTCTTAAAAAATATACGGTGCCTGCAACAGGCTTCCTTTGCCAGCAAAGTCTTTAATCGTTCTCTCTGCCCATGTTTTTGCTCAGCATTCAGCCTAAAAGAGTTTGTCAAACTCAAAAGCCCGCTCTGTTTTGATGTTTTGTTGCGTCTAATAAAGGAAAAAACTCTGCATTTCTTCCCCACCTACTCACTCAACAGAAATGCAAAGCACAAGTGGTCCTCCTGGAGCCCGGCATAGAATTCCCCTCTGCCCTTGGAAACAAACAGCGTTGTTATTCAGCAACGGGGCGTCTGAGAAGCATCAACGCCCACAAATAAATGCCGGCAGCAGGACAGAATCCCATGGCATAATTTGCAATTAAAAAAGGGCACTGGACCGCTGAGCTCCAGAAGACTGGTACCGAGCCAGCGAAGGCTGGCGCAGAGGCGGAACTCCAGCCACAAGACTCGCGAATGGAGGAGACGGCCGGGAAAGCGGCAGTCTGAGAGGGCACCTGGAGACCAGCCTGCGCTCTTGCAAGGCCAAGTCCATTGCACTGGCTGGAGGCACCAGGAATCCATGCAGGGGGGAAGCAGCCCCCGCCATGCTTCATCATCCTATGGACGTGTAGAACAAGCGCCGCTCACTTCCTAGCAACAAGGAAACTGCAGAAACAAAACAGCGCCGTGGGAGAAGCTATCAGGTTGTGGACAGGAGAGCTTCCTGAAGTGTGCTTAGCTTGGGATTTATGGGCTTCCCACACGCAAGCCACACGGAGGCATCCATGGCACCAGTGGGAAGCGGCTGCTAACCTTGGCCCCCGCCCCCCCGCCACAAGGGCCCTGGCCGCCTATTTCTTTCCTCCCTCTCCTGCCTTCAAGCAAGCACTTGTTTATTTTCCAGCCATTTCCAGTAACGGATCCCCAAGGAGACACAAGCGCCTCTGGAGGGTGTTCTGATAAGGGCAAGACTGGCACGTACACACGTGCGTGCGCGCGTGCGCACACAGGACGTGGTCCCCGGGAGGCCCATGCGTGAACACGGCTCTTGCTGGGCTCCTGCAAGCCCAGTTCTGCCGGGGTCCCTCGGCTGCACCTGTGCCAACGGCCGGCGGCTGTTTTTGTGACTTTCCACTGGGCAGGCACAATGCAAGGCATTCGGTTTCACCAATGGGGACTGGCTTTTTAGGATTAACGGGACTGCCTAGCTGGGCAGTATTAAAAATCCCCAGGGAGTAGAATGGTTGGAACTGGCAATATATCAGCATGTTTCACATTTCTATGCTAGGATTGTTCTTAATATTGATTTTCTATATTATGTGTGATGCCGTGTCTCATTTATTTATGCTCTTGCTGCCCCGAGACACTGTGGGATACAAAATCTTTAAACAAACAAACAAACAAACTATGCCACACAGCAGCCCTCAAAACGCTTCCCACCACCACCGGGGATGCTCACAGCCGCATGGAGGTGCTTCCACCATTTCTAAGGTGAGGATTCCTGTCACCAGTGTGTCTGTGGCCCCTTCCAGGTCCCCCTGCTCGCTCTGTCTCTCCTGCACGCATCAAACAACTTAAGTGAAGGGGCCCACAGCAGTTTAGAGGAACGCAGGCAGCTTGCCTGCTCTGTCACCAGGCAACAACGGCAGGCTGCGCTTCCTCCGCCAGCGGAAGCCCAACTTTTAGGCAAACGGCCCTCAAGCCATGGAGCTACTTCTGCGCACGCGTCCCTATGCACACGCTTCCAGTGAGCCGGCGCTGCGGCCTTGCAGGGCAGGCGCGCACGGGCCCCGTCGGGATCCAGCCGTGCCTGAAGACCTGCTTTCTGTGCAGAATGAGCACGATGCCCCCGGGCAACCTGCAAACAGCTCCCCGCTCCTCCCGCCGCACAATGGAGCAGAGCGCCGAGCCTCGTGCTCACGGTGTGGGCCGGGTCAGGGGCCACACCTGTCAGGGCCGGGGCCTGCGTGACCCGGCAGGTGCTCGCGGAGCCAGGCGCGCGTCGTGGGCACTGGCAGGACGCGCCGTGGAGCAACTCTGCGGCACAGCGCGAGACCCCACAACCTGCGTCCGGGGCCTCCCTGCGCCGCTGCCCCCGGCCACAGCGGCGCGGTGGTCCCGAGGCTCCTTGTTCCACGGCCCCCGCTGGGCCCGGGCCCCGCCCCCCGCCCACCTCGCGCCAGGGTGTCTCGGCCTCGCTGCAGCCGTGCCCCTCGCTGCCCTCCCGGGCTTCCTCTGAGTAGACCCTGCCTCGCTCCAGCCCTCCGGTGAACCGACCTTGGAGCTGTGCTCTGCCACCCCAGCGCGCCTGCAGATCGGGCTGCCCTCCTCTGTGCCTCTGACCCGGCCCAGGCCTCTGGTCCGCGCGCAGCGAGCCGGCCTCAGTGCGCCCACGCCCAGGCCCAGGCCCAGGCCCGGCGCCCTGCCCTCCCCTGCCGCCACCCGGCACCCAGCCCGCCATACCTGCTGGCTCTGCTGCCACTGGATGGCCCGCACTTTGGGCACGGGGCTCTCCCGGGACGAGGACGACTGCTGCCGGGAGCGGCTGCCGTTCTGCAGGGGCTCGGCCGCCATCGTGGCGGAGGCGGCGGACGTGCTCCCGGTGCTGCGCAGGGAGGCGCTGTGGGGGAGTGACTGGGGGGCCCGGGCCCGGGTGCCCAGCCCCGCCTGCTCCCCTGGGCGCGCCGGGGCCTGTCCGGCGCTGTTCTGGCGCGGCAATGCCAGGGGCGTGGGCCTGTCCGGCGCGGCGCCCCGCCGGGAGAAGTCGTCGCCACGCGAGCTGCGCCTGGCCAAGTCCTCCACGCTGCTGTTGCTGGGCCCGCTCAGCTTCAGCTCCTCGCTGTTCTGGCTTCGGGAACTGGCCACGCTCAGGTTCTCCAGGCTGGAGTCCACGGACACCTTGGGCAGAGGCTGCGGCGGGTTGCTGAGGTGGTAGACGGGGTTCTGGAAGGAGAGGGGCTGCAGGCTGCCCGGCGGGGCGAGGGCGGAGTGCCAGGGCCTCCTGACCTGGGGGGCGCTCTGAGGCGTGCTGGGCAGCTGCTTGATGCCGGCCACCTGGATGACGGAGAGCTGGCTGCCGGACAGGCGCACGGGAGCGCCGTGGGTCATGGAGCCGGAGTCGCTCCGGGTGACGCTGGGGTCCTGGAGGTCCATCAGGGAGATGCTGCGGACGCTGGGTAGGTTGGTCTCCTCGCCTTGGTCCGAGTAGGTCGTGCTCCACGAGGAGCCTTGCTGGATCAGGACCAGCTTGCCTTTGAAATACCCTTCGCCTTCTTGGGGTGGAGACTTCAGCTTGAGCTCACTGAGGAGTGGAGAAGAAATGGCGGTCAGTTTTCATGGCCCCACGACGACGCAGCGGCCCTTTTCCCATTTGCCTAAGTATTGTCAAGGGCGTGAGATGGCCTGGGCCAAATTCAGAGGATTGCCTGGGAACCGGCATCTCCTTCCCCTCGAGAGCTGCAGCCCCGTGGAGGGAAGCCATTGCAGGCCACGTGCCACAGGCCACTCCCTGCTGAGACGACCCCCCACGCCTGCCGAGAGGGTCACCGCCCCAGGCCTCTGCTCCTGATTTTTTGCTTAGGAGCTGGACATCTGGGCTGGGGAGCAGCAGCTGACAATGGGATGGTGGTGAATTTAAGGGGTTCTCCCCTCTTGTATGCCCAGTATCTCTCCGCCCATCCATCCATCCATCCCTCCATCGGCTGAACAACCTGAAGACGCCTAGATGTTTTGCACTGCAAGATCCCCCCTGTGGGCTATGCGGATTAGGGCCGACTGGAGCTGCGGGCCAAGGCACAAGCTGCCCACCCCGATCTAGGCTCTCCCTGCCCAGGCAGGGAAATTTTCTGAAAGCGCAGAACATACTGCGGGAACCTTCCCTCCCCTCCCTAGGTGCTTCAAGGTGAAAGGGGACACAAGTTTGGGGTTCGTGACCCTCCAGCATAAGGAATTATTTATTACATTTTATTACATTTATACAATGCCGTATAGCCCATGGGCTGACAAATGCCAGCTGGACCTAAAATTTTTTGGACACAATCTAGTAAAACAGTCCAACTGATTTCCAGGAAAGAAAGTTAAGCATTGCTTCATTTTCTCATTGAAAGCAAAGTTTATAAATAAGCTAAGTTCTGGCTAGATTGTACCATCTGTATTTCCCTCACAGGCTGTCTTGACTGCTTCCTAGCCTGTACTTTCCTCTTTAGTGAAACTGATAAAGCTCAGACCATTTCCACTGATTTTCTCTTTCACAAATATTCCCTCCTTCTAGATATTAAAGAGAATTTCTTGACTGGATTTATCTCCCAGCCGCAAACTCAATCCAATTACAGAATAAAAAGCTAAAGCTCTATCATCACCCTGTGAGTTAAAGCCAACCAATAAAGCGATTTCCCACCAAAACTGAAACGGGAGACAGACATTTTGCTAGGCTGCCCGTTTCAAAATTGTCCCCATTTGTAACATAAGCAGTAGACTCCCAAATAAGCATTGACTGAGCATCTCAACCCCACTACTAGTATGGCATAAGGTTATATTCACAAGGCTTTGCTTCAGATTAGTTAATTGTGGAGTAATCCTATGGTTTTTAGAAACGCTAGGACATAAGTAGAATGAGGGTTTCACTTTTAAGCATGCACGAAAAGGGACATATGGGGGAAATACATCCCTTTTGGCCTTCCAACTTTGCTGATGGCATGAACGAAAGAAAGGGGTGACATTTTACACTGTATCGTATTGCCATTTCTGTGTTTTGTGAAGTGCTGTGAAGCACCCAGAAAACTTCGACTGCTGGGCAGGAGCGGGATGACGTAAACGAATGACCACTCCACTCGCCCCGCCCGTGAAGCGGAGGCAGAATTCTGGACCGCGGCACTTCAGCCCGCAAGTGGGGCGATCCCATTTCTGAGCGACCTCTACTCTGTGAAAACCATGCTGAGGTTCTGGTTTTAGGGGAGAGGCTGAGGTTCTGGTTAGCAGAGTGGGTGCTTGGCATGCCCACAGGGGCAGGGTCCACCCCCAGTTGAAAAGGCCTCAGAAAGCAGAGGAGGGACATAATGGATCCAGGTGGCACATGGGTCTGACTCTGCTTAAGGCTGCTTCAGTTCTGAAGCGGCTGTTTTAAGAAACTCGAAGGGCCCTGGCCCTTTAGCTGAGCGGCCCTTTTTCCTGGCATGGCAGACTCACCTGGACAGGGCGGGACGGAGTCTGCCTCAGTTCCACACCACCCCAGAGCCGCTCACCTGTCAGCGGGGTCCTCGAATATCTTCTGCAGCCCTGAGGACAGGCTGACGTTGGGGCTTGAGCTGTGATCCGCCAAACGCCTCAGCTGCTGCTGGATCGGTGTGGGGTTTGTGGTAGCCTTCGCAATGTCTGTGAGGATGCGTGGCAAAGGTCCCAGTTTTTCTACCGTCGCCTGTAGGAAGGAATTTTCACCCTGATTCGACAGTAAGCATCGTGGCATCCGCCATTTCAGTTTGTGGGGGGTTGATTTTGAACGGTTAAAAAAGAAAAATACAACGATGAACAGAGGTGGAGGAGTGGATGTTGGAAGGAAAGAAGGTGGGGCGTTTGCGGGTGTGTGCGGGAGGCAGGACCACAATGCATTGTTATGGAGCAGCGGAACCACGGCGACCGGACGGACGGATGGGCAGACGGATGGAGGAGACGAAACGGGGTGCAGCATTGAGGAAAGAAAAGGAAATCAAAATTAAAAACTGACCCCCCAAAATAAAAAGGTCATGCTAAACAAAACCAGACTAAAGCCATTCCAATGCCAACCCGTCATGCAAAGCCAACTGCATTCAAAGCGTGGGGCAGCGGGACCAGGGTACTGGTGCTGGAAGTACTGCTAATTAAAAGGGGATTCAGAAGACTAGCGGAGTGCACGTTTTCCCCCGACTCCACCCAAACAGGGAGGTGGTCAGCACGACGCATGCTGACGCATTCGGGGGACTCATGAGTGCTAAAAGCAAGTGCGGCGTGTGCCCACAGAGTCATCTGCCGAAATAATCCTTTGCCTTCAACCTGCTTTTGTGAACAGTCAACATGCCTTTAATTTGGTCCCCTTTTCAAAGAACTCTACAGACGTAAATATACGCCTTTATTGAATCCCGAGTGACGCTGGGCTTATCCCCTTGCCAGATGAGCAATGCTGACTGTGAAGAAACAAAACAATCAACTATGCGTTTATCTCTGGCCATCTCCTTATTGGAGAGATGCTCTGGAAGCAAGGGCATCAGGCCACCGTAAGAGGTGGAGGCAAGGGCGTGAGGTTGCCAGGGAGTCCTGCCTGGCTTTTATTTACATTCTGGGCCACGGTAAGAGGTGCTCGCAGGAACCGGCAGGCCGATTTTCCATGCGTCGCTGAGACAAATTTTCTGTGTCAAGTGTGCTCGTGCAACCAGACCAAGGTGACGTGTGGCCGTTCCCAGGGCCCGGCAGCAGGAGCCCGTCCCAGGATGCGTCCAGTTCTTGGGCTGGCGGGGGAGATGGCCAGGATCTGCTCTGCCTTGCTGAGCAGACAGAGTGCCCTGGCAGGGAGGAGAGCGGGGCTGGGCCACCCTTCCTGGTGGCTTGAGAAGCCCGCTTGCCAGCTGGCCACTCGCTGCTGCCGTGAGCCCTGGAGAGCCCCGGATTCAAGGGCGCTGGGACGCCTGGGAGGCTGCTGTCAGCGGAGCTCGCACACAGCCGGTCGCGCTGTCCAGGTTCATCTGGACAACCCTCTGTGGGTGACAACAACCCTCGATCAGCCCATGGGCTGCCCAGGTGGGCTGCCTGGAAAGAAACACCCCACCCTGGGTGCGCCCAGGCTGTGTCCACAAGACACGACAACTCACCCGTGATTGGTGGGGGTTGCAGAGTTGCCCGAAACAGGTCCAGCGCTCTGATCTGTTACCTGCGGCGCCCACGTCCCCCCTTTTTCCTTCCTCCTTAACGTATTCACTATTTCCAGCACTGAACTTTGTGCACAGGATCTCCTAAAGCCAATTGTTCAAAGCCCCTGGCGAAGATTTGTTTGGGAAAAGTCATAACCCCAAGGTATTTTTGAGAAGAGGACAATCCTTTAAAGTATAACATGCAAATGCCAGAAGAATCAAGGTCTACAGGCTGGTTAGATTTTAGAATTAGATTTTTTTTAAGTAAAGTTTTTTTTAAAACTACACGGATTATCCCCTTTGGCTGTGGGGCAGTATAGGAATTAAGTAAATAAATAAAGCCACACTGCCAAAGACGCAGATGTTCGGCGCCCGCGTGGACCCGAGGGTCTGCAAAACTCCTGCAGCTGCCTGGACCCTCCGAGCATTCCTGCCGGTCCCCTCAGATGAGGAGGTCTGGTCACGCCTTGACGGGCAGGCGCTGTTTTATCTGAAGGCTACCTGCAGGAACTCCCCGTGGGCAGTCGCGACCTTCTCTGACTGCCCCGCATGAATGCTCACGGAGACCAGGAGGCGATCAGATGCAGCCCCTCCCAAACTCCAGACGGGGTTACCTTGTCCAGCTGACACACAACTTCCCACAGCAAGGAGTGCAGGACAGCAACCTCCCTTCCCAGATCTATGTATCCTTCAAATCCCGGTGTGTTGGAGATTGTGTCCGCGTTCGAGATTTCTACCAAGAAGCGTTTCATGCCTCCCCACTCATGCTCTAGGAAGTCATTCATAAATGTAATGTATTCTTCTTTGTTCCCAAATCTTGATTTGGAGGAGGGAAAGAGAGAGAGGGAGGGAGGGAGGGAGGGAGAGAAGTAAAATATCACAATTTGGGTCATTCACTTCCTTTCTGGGGAGAGAGGAGGGGTTTTTGGGGGCAAAGGAGTGGTCTCAAAGGCTTGCCTGATTCACTGAACATCTAAAACCACCATTTCCACGAAGGCACGAGACCTCCATGCACGCACAGTTTCCACAGCTGCGGAAAAGACATGGGATCCCATCGGACACTAACATAAAGGATAGCAAAAATCCTCTCGCACGATACCAAGGGCCCTGGCTGGCGCAGTCGGTCTCCCTGGAAAACCCGTGGCGCCGGCCAGCGCTACTGGCATTGCCCGAGGGGCCAATTTTGCAGAAGGACTGGAATCGATGTGAGTGGTGGGGCTGCATCGGAGACTGCCCAATAATTTTAGAGGGAGCGAAAGGGCCATGAGAGAGCCAGTGCTGTGAATACCCAGGATCTATACATCCATTTGCCCCACTCCTCTCTTTGGTAAACGGGCCATTCAGGTTGCCATAGGCTTCAAAAACCTACTTGCTGGGGATTATAGCTGGGAAAAGAAATTTGGGAACAGGCAAACAATCTCTGTCGGGAAAACTAGTATAAATCTCTTACCAGTCCCCGCTTTCATGTACTTTGCCCCAAAATGAGATATGAAGGGAAACTATTCTTTACATCGACTGTGCAAATTTTTAAAAACACAACTGACCACCACCGTGGGTGGGGGCAGGGTAATTAAGGGGATCTTTGCAGGCCTGAAGGGCAGCCTAGCCCTTTCCCTCCTTGTTGCAGCCCTGGAGAAAAATATCTCCTCTGAAGCCGGTGTTTCCTTTGGGTACATATCTCTCGTTTTCCTTGAAAGGACAACGCAGGACAACAAGGTTAAATTCTAGCCTCAGGCCTGCTCTAATCCTATTATCACTTCCTCATCTTATGCAATTTTCATTTTAATAAACCCTATACATAGCAAAGATACATTTAAGAACACATGCAATTTGGCCTTCAGAAGGGAAGATTTCACTTACTCATTAAATTAGTCTCTAAGAAGCCCAGTTCACAGTACACTTAAATTGAAACAGAAGGATTTAAGGTAGTTTTAATCCCAATGGCTATGGTGTAATTAAAGTAGAATTTAGTTTATCGAATATACAAACAAATAGTAGATGAAGCTTTATAGAAGCAATTTAAGGAATATATTTCCCCTATTGGTATTTGCTGCATGACAGCGTTCCTTGATTGCTTTGCAAATCCCATCCGATCCAGTATCAGGAATTGCGTTCCGGCCAAGGAGGGTTCATCCCTTCTGGCATGCACTCCCATGTCCTGGATCTGCACCATCCAACCCCATGAGACGGGCAGCACGAGTGGGAAAATGTGCTGTCAACAGGGAACGGAAATCCATTTAGTGCAGTTTTGGTTTGCGCTCTTTACTTGCACGGACCCGATTCCTCCCTCTGCAAAATTCACGTGCGCTAAGCGACATGGAGGCAGCTGGGCTCACCTCAGAACGCAAGAACGGGGGCGCCAGAATGTCACTCGCCCCAAACACCCTTTGCTCAGTAGCTAAATGTCAATTCTAATGGGCGTGTGAGGCGCACGCGAGGCAGGCCGTGCGTGAAAATACCGCAGGAGCCTCATTGGTGGGACTGCCCTGCTCAGGGAGGACGCAACCCTCCGTGCAGCAGCATTTCCAAGTGCGCCTTGCGCTGCGCTCCTACGGAGAGGAGCAACTCGCCACTTAGGCGGGGAACAGCGAGGCCGAACAGTGGGCGGCATCGCGGTGGCGAGCTAGATCTGGTTTGGAAATTCAGCACCTGGGGCAAGGAGCAGCTCGACATTCTGCCCCAGAATGTGGCCCATCCTCACTGTCACCCCGGAAGTAGAGAGAGGGGGGCATCCCGTCTCCACAGCCCCAGCCGTGGGTTCCATCGTCAATGGCGGCAAGTTTTGCCTAACCGTAGTTTTATGACATAGTGGCTTGCGGTGGGAGACCGTGTCCTTCAAGCTGCAGCGGCTTGAGGCGTGTCCTTCGGCAGGTCCGTGGCCCTGAACCTCTGGCAGCTCAGCTGCGTGATACAGCAGAGCATTCGAGTCAGTCAGCGCGCTCGCACGTCACACTAAGCCACTGCCAAAGAACCCACCACGTGTCTGGCAGACGACCGGTCTTCTTATGGGTCGCTTCCCCCTCCAGATGGTCCTGGCACACGTCCAGCACTTTCGGGGCAACATTCGCCGTTCCCCCATCCCCACTCAATACTCCTTTTCGTTTGCCTACGCCATCCTGTTTTTTGGATCCTCAAACAAGTCCCCCACCGATAGGAGTTGTGCCTGGTTGCGGGGGCGGGTGAGGGCTGAAACGTGCACAACCCTGTTAGTAATTAAAAACAAACCTGCTGGACTTTTGTGTGTGTGCTCTTACAACGGTTTGTTAGGCATAGTCTTGCCCAGTCAATTCCCTGCCTGTTTCAGCTGTCAGAGGGAGCCGATAGCAGGTGGACAAGGGGAGGCCGCACACAGGCGGATTTGCAAACAGCTGCCGAACCGCCAGCTGAAAAGCTCTGGGAAAGGGGGAAAGGGAAGTGCGCAAGAGGGGAACGAAATGCTTTGTCAATGCAAATTCCCCTGCCCTTCAGATGCCGCAGAGGAGCCTGTGTGGGAACACTGGGCTTGGTCGACACAACAACTTGCCAAGGTTGGCTGTTGGGTCCTACGGATGACAAAAATCCAGCTGCCCCTTAACTACTGGGTTAGCTAATGTCACCTGCCTTGTGAAGTTTGCTAGGTTTTGGATAACCTTTGCGATCAGCGTGAGAGTCCGAGAGGTTCGGTCGTCAGGATACTCTTGCATGAGGTTGAAGAGACTTGGAGACATGATGGCTGGGCAGAGGAATCGGAGGAAAAGCGAGGCGCTGATCAGACGTTCGCTAATATCCTGCTTCCCCCTGTTGAGGCACTGCTGCTTCCACGAAGCGAAAACCTCCTTCAGCTCCCGAGGAAAGACACTGAAAAGCAACGGGGGGGCAGAGGAGCGTCAGGCACAGCGAGCCGGATGAGGAGGAGAAACGGCAGCCCCCCAGCGAGAGGGAGGAGCTGCGAGTGGGCTTAGTATATGACGTGGGGAGAGGGAACAGGATTAAAATGTGATGTCATACACATGTCCATCTGGGTCCAGTATCTCTGAGCATCGGTATACACGGGCTTGCTTTCACCTGCTGCTCCCTCCCTGGCTACTGTGGGATTGTAACTATCTGCTCACTTAAGGAATTGCTTCCAAGAGCCCAGACAGGAAAGCTTTACAAAATTGACCATTTTGGTCCATACATTATTTTAAAATAGGCTCTCAAAGCATTTGTGGGCAGGAAATCTTTGCGGATTGATCTGCAAGCCCAATTCCCAGCAGTCCCAGCTGGCGTGACCCATGTTCAAGACTTAGGGGATTTGTCACCCCAAATATCTGAAAGGCAACTAGCGCTGTATCCCACCTCATGAATGCTGTTTTCGCCTGTCAAATGCTAGTGGAGGAAGAGCTGCACCCCCAAACAGGACATAAAGAGAGTCCTGCTGTTCCTTCACGTGGAGGAAATCTGGCTGCACTCCTGTTGCAGCCTGCAGGTTGTCGTGATGTTGGTGGAGATTCGGACGGGGCACTGGGCCAGGCAGGCTGGAGCTTCTCGCCTCGCTTGCTGCAGCCTCGTTTTTAGGCGGGCATCAATCGGCCGGGAGGAGAAGCACCAGGGTGGAGCATGCCCCACTCGCACAACACGGGGGCCGAGACGTGCGCGGAGCTCATGAAACAGTACTATCTGCTGCGTGTGCTTCATGATTCCTCAAGTCCATTCTCCACAGCCCCGTTGTTGCGACTTTCCTTCCCAGAAAGCCTCCCTTGTGAATCTGCGATCCTCTTGCATCCATGCTCTTCAGGAAGAGCCCTGGTTCTATTGCTGGAGCCCACCTGGGTGACCTCTGCCTAGTCACCCCGAGGGACGCTCTTTTCCCCCAGAGGTTCTAGCTTCTGTTCAGAACCATCTCTGGAGACTCGGGCTCACAGATGTTTCTTCTATTCCCAAATTCCATTCTGCTCAGTAAGACTGTCTATTCCTAAGTTGCTCAGTGATCAGATCTAGACGTTTAAGGACATTAATTTTATTAAACCTATTTTTTAAAAAATCAGTAGTCTCGAATACATAATAAATATATAAATGTAAGAAAGAAAAATACAGAAGCCTTACTTCTTAAATAAAGAAGCCATGAGAAAATGAATGATACGGTTCGCCTTCATTTCTCATTCTAACATATCATCGAAATTGGGCATTCATTTCTAATTTCCAACACTCATGACAAAAATTAAAAAATACTTTTCTGCTGCAGATAGTTTGATATGCATGTATGTATACCAGGCCCTTCCCCCTTCCATAACCCTCCTCTTCCTCTCAGTCTTATCCTCATAACAATCCTGAGGCATGTTAGGCCGACTGGCTCGGAGTCACCAAAGCCACCAGGACCCAGACTTCATGGATCCCGGTCCATCGCTGTGCTTCACAGCGTTTTGTATTTGGAGAGACTAAGCCTGCCCTTCTACTGATGCTTGCAGGCAGAAACGCAACCATGCAGCTTTACATGGCAAGCACTCCCCGTGCATGATCCACGCGTGAGTGATGGGATTCTGGGTGTCCCGGCAGAGTCCGTGTGGCCGAGCCGTGGCATTTCTTCGGCTGATTCTTGACCAGGAGTCGGGCAGGCCTGTGCTTGGCCTCACCCATGTCCCAGCACCACAGACGCACTTTATCCCTTAGAAACAGCCATTCACTGTGGGAGAGTATGAAGGGGGCAGGCCCGCAGGGAGATGCATGGGTTCGGTGGTAAACGCAGCTCGTGGCCTGAGCCCAGCGGCTTGCCTGTACAGCTCTTACTTATTCCACAGGACTTAATGGGAGCCGGTAAGTCCTGCCTAGCCTTAGACACATCTTATCATTACAATCCTATCTCATGTTCTCTTTTCCATCACGCTGCAGTGTGGCAAAGACACAGATGTGGGCTTTAGGTCTGCCTGTGTGCCCAGCCTTGCGCAGTCTTTGGTGAAAGAGCAGGTGCCTAGTCCTTTTGCTACTGCGCTCACCTTAACTCAAGAAAACCATTTTTCTTCTTCCCACCCACTGGCAAGATTCCCAGGAGGCCGCTCAGTTAAACGGAAACTGACTTAGCCCATCATGTACATATCAAAAGTTTCAGCTGTGCGGTTAGTTTCACTTGATCTCTAGACCGGCTTCGCTTCAATTAAGCTGCCCTGTGCTAAATATGACCTCCAAATAAATGCGGGTTGAGAAACCTTCTCCTGCCGCACTCACCAGTACGAGTTGATGATCTTGCAAAAGGCCAGCTCACAGCACATTTTGAGGTTGGCCTGGTGGTCGGCCAATTCGCTGGGTGAACTTTTGCTGGGATCCACTTCACAGTTCTCATCTGACTCATACAGTGCTTTGATGAATTCACCTAGAAATCGGACGAGAGGACAGAGAAAAAGACGGTTTGTTGGTGTGGCTGCGTAGCTTTTGTCTACCTGCGTAGCGGCAGGAAAGTGGCCCTCTCCCTTCTTCATAACGAGTGGGGAGCACAAGAGTGCATTCAGCCCACTTCTAGAAATGGAGTGGAAATCTAATTCTCCCCCGTGAGATATAATGAAGCCCACCAGCTCTGTGATGTTCGATCTGAAGGAAGGGAATTCTTTGCTTCCCTCTGCCAATCTGCTTATCTTCAAAAGAATGCTGCCCAGTTAACCTGCTGTCATTTAGCCTAGAGACGGATTAACAGCTATCATTACCTGCTTTGGTTTATCAATTAATTCCCCCGCCCCACCATTCCTTCTTGTAATTTGGGTTACATTTGCTGCCCTTTAATTTCACTGGAGTATAATGAAAGACTCTTTTAGAACAGAACAGGCTAGACAAAGAATTACTTGAATTACTCCTGCTCTTGACATGTTTTCATGACGTCAATTATTCAAACCAGGTCAAGTTAGCTCAACTTTTAAAAAATTTAACTGAAGCATTTTTATGCCGCTGTGCAGCCAAATGAGGTTCCCAGAGTCTTACATACAGTCAATGAAACAAGACGTGTATTTCTATTCTCGTCGCCTCTGCTGCATAAGGCTAGTGAAACCGGACACTTAACTTCAGAAATAGAGCCTGTGGGAGAATCGGTGCAGTTTCTTGTTTGGATCACTGTTGCAGGGTTTTTCATATTCTCATCTCATATTCCTAGTTCACAATCTATTTCTGTATTATACTTTTAATATGCCCAATGACAGAAGGTTCTCCGGACTGCCCCTGGCCACTCTTCCTCATGCCCCCAGTGCGTGGCGGTAACAGGGAGGTGTCGCAGAGAAGCATAGATGGTGCCCAGGGCCAGTATGCAGAAAAAGTCCCCCTCCCTCGTCGACAGACGAGCACACATTAGCTTCTCAGATTCAGCAGATGCGTTATCTCCTTACTCATTTCCAGAGTAGTTGCAATTATGGATCTTGTGCCATAAGCTGAGGGTCTACAAAGAAACTTGCACATGCAGACCTAAGCAAATTTCCCAGACTCCACTGTTCCAAAAGAAGGAAAACCTGAATCCATTTTTCCTGAAAGTCAAAGAGTACATGAACCGAGCTTCCAGTAACAAGCAGACGGCTTCTTCTCGCAGCAAGTTTTCTATCTCGTCTTTCATTCTGCTCTCACACACTAATTCCATATTATGTTTAAGTTCTAAGATTTCTGCTACAGTCTGACAAAAGATGAATCCCCAAATTGAAATTCCCCAGAAAACATTATGTTTGCTTTCACTAAAGAAACATTCTGCAAATTTAATATGAAGCAAACACATTCAAGATGTCTTTAGTGTAGAAGTCTAGTTTATTAGCTTGGCGAATGCAAAGGATGGGAACATATTGTTAAAAATGGCAAGTGAAGCTACTGCTATATTAAAGGATTTATAATTCTTTTCCAAGGCTATATTATTTTGACTTTTCCTAGCTTCTTATCTGCAACCAGCCCCTTCTATAGATCTTAGTTTGTGTTTACCACCTTTGGAAAATTCACATTTGAAAGGTGGCTTGTATAAATATATATCTAAAATAAAATCTCTGCAAGTGGCACCCACTCATTATGCCATTTCTACAGGAGACTGCCAAAACTTTATTTAAGGTGATGTTCCAAAAAGTAAAAACAGGAATGCTGATGCAGCTACTGAAAATGGAAGGCAGAAATGGCGCCCCGCTCTTCGCCCCCGATGCCCCTGCACCAGTATCACTCACTGGGGTCAGGAAATCTTGAGCAACAGGCAATCAGGTTTTGAGTAAGCCCAGTGAAAAGAATCGACGCTTGCTCCACGGTCTGACATGGCTTCTGCTCATCCGAGCATTTTGCTGCTAGCAGCTGAGATTGGGCAATTAAAGCAACAAAGGAACATTTTGAGAACATGAAATAGAGCAATTGGGAGCATTTCTGGAATAGCTACCAGCAGAAAGATGCTATTAATGTTCAAAACAGGCATTAAAGGAAAGGAACATGTGATTCAGCAAAGCAAACAACAAGCTCTGGTACAAAATGGATGAACAACATTTGGCATATGACCACAATGGTTCTCCTTAAGCCTCAAAATTCAAAGGCACATTTTGGGGGAAAGCGTGTCAAGATACCAGGTTATGATGGCTGGGAATGAGCGAGGAGAACAGAACTGTCATGCCCAGGAGGGGGAAAGCGGAGAGAGGGTGTAAGAAGAAGTGATAATTGTATCATGTCCTACCAATCTACCCCTTGAAGAATGAATTCAACTGAGACCATTTTCCACATGTGTACTAAACCCTTTTAACTGAAGAGTCATTACATTAGAAATACGAATAACATTTAGAAAAAGAAGGGGAGTGTTAAAATAGAGAAAGGTATTTTGAATACATATATTGGAGAGACTAATATACTGCATTGATGACTTTGGTGTGTTTAGAAAATCTAAATTTTTGAGCTACTATGATAAATGGACCTTTTTAAAGAAAAGAAAGTAAAACAATAATTTCTCAGAGATCCACATTAGATGCCAAATTCTGTCTTTCATAATGTGACTACTGACACACAGATATTTAGGACCTCTTTAGACTAGCGCCGATAGTTCTTTTAACAGTTAGAATGTAGGAGAAACCCTGCAGGATCGGGCCCAGGGCCCATCCAGTCCAGCACTCCATTCACACAGTGGCAAACCAGCTGCCCCCGGGGTCCCTCCAGCAGGATGGGTGCTGGGCCTCCTCCCGCCCACAATCCTCAGCAGCAACGTAAATTGTCCAATCCCCATGATGGGTGGCTAAAGGCTTGTTAAAAAAGGCTCAGAGCCCAAACAAGCACCACGGCCCAGTCCTAAGTGCGCCAAGCAAGCCAGCACCCTGCCCGCCAACTGCAGATCCAATGGAAAGGTTTCCACACGCCAGGCAGGCACGGCCTGCTTCTGCAAGAGCAGCTCAAAACAAGAATGACGCCGACGTGTCATTACCGAGTGCATCTTGCAGGTACTTCTGCCCCACCAGCTTGAGGTATTCCTCGATGGCTTTGGTGGCAAGCGTGTTCTCCCTGAAGATCAGCACATCGTGGTCCCCGCAGCGATCGACCTCGGACATCACCAGATCGGTCAGGAAGTCCTGAAGGAGAAAGAAAGATGAGGAGCTGTTTTAGTCAATGCTACGTGGCTCAGTGCCAGGCAGGAAAGGTGACTGGGAGGCCCCAGATGGAGGGATGAAGGAGCTGCTGCACTCGGCAGACCAAAATGGTGGCGTGACCCGGGCGGGAGTGGCGGGGCCTGCAGGACGGAAAAAAGGGGCGGGGGGGGGGGGCAGCAGTGGCGCAAGCAGGCACATTAAACCCAGGTGCATCATTTTTTGATATCTTTTTGAGCTGAATAGAGAATCCATTTATTTTTCTTCTTTTCATTGTTCATGTTACATTCTTGATTTTTCTCCTGTTAATGACTGATGTTGACTTCCATTTAAATATGTGGTTTCTATGTTGATAACTAGTGTGTGAGCCCACAAGCTCAAATGTTACACAAAACAAACACCAACGGGAGCTAGGGCAGGGAATGACTCCTGTCCCCACTCGTCAGTCTTATTTTCTAGGACTTGGGTTCAAATTTCCAGCTCGCTGTCACTGACAACAATCTATGTCACCGAAAAGTTGTGACGATAAAATGAAATATCACTAGCTATGCCTAGTTGAACTCGTTGGAAGAAAGGCGAAATAAAAATACGGCACAGTCTTCTAAATAAACCGCAAGCATCAAAACTAAAAGCCAAAGAAAGGGTTCAAGACTATTTATTTCCACTGGATCCCCTATTTTAAACTCTGTGGTGCATCAGACCGAGGTGTCACGGACTGCTCTGCTTAGCATTCAGGCGGCCTGCAGCACTGCCCAGAACATAAGGAAACAGTGCAGGCGCTACTGAAGGGATTGCAGGTCTCCGCACAGGTACGCTTTTCCCCATCTGCGAGCCATGCCGTCCATTAGTCGGGACAGCAACTGTGAAGCAAGTGCTAAATTAATGTAATCAAATGCTTGGGCAAGAGATGCTCGGCTCCTGTGGCGTCAATGCCATTTCCTGATGTGGATGCAGATGCCACCTGTATCCATCTTGGACCATAAAGCTGCCCAGGTACATGGAATGCTTAGATAGCCTCCAACCCAATGGCGACCTGACCCAGACCTGCTTAGCTTCAGCAAGGCCGCCCTGGGAAACAGGAATCATCACAGATTGTAAGCCTCGACTTCTGTGGGAGGTTAACATGCCCATTATCTCGGAGAAAGCATTGATTAGCTTTCAGGATTAGATCTATTCATCTGCTTGAGTCTGGGTAGACATATTTACTTTCACCATCTTGGGACATAATGTCAGGGCCCACCAATAATGCAAGGGAAGCCGATTAAACCTGCATTAAAAAGTGGCCATTGGTTTCTTTCAGGAAGTGCTACTGTTTGGCCAAGACAAAAAACAATTTCCGTCACTAAACATTCTCCAGGACATCACTTAATACCAGAAAGCCTCAAAGCATTTGGTACTTTTAGCAACATGAGCCAAGTGTTATTTTGTTCTATTTTGTTATTACAAGCGAGAGAGAATGCAGAGGAGGAGAGAGCACGTTTTTAAAACTGAACCATAAACTACAGTGAACTGCAATTATGAAGGCTGATCCAGTACAGTTTTGTACCAAAGGAAGCTGAAGCCTGTTTTGTGGGCTATTTTGGGAAAATATTACGAAGGCAGTTTTGGTTATGAACCCAGCTGGACCAGAAAAGCAGAGCATCCTAGGGAAGTGAGACCGACTGGCAGAACTCACGGGGAATGGTTTCCCATTTCCAAGACTCTGTCTGAAGGCACCTGATGCAGCAGCCTGGCTGAACCCTACGGTGCCTGACCAGAATACTGCCTGGGAATCCTTCAGCTCCGCAACAGAGGGAGATGGGCTATCAATGTAAATAAATAAATATGTATTTATGTATTGAGGTGGGTGTGGGGTTGGGTGGACTCCAGGGGATGGTGGAGGACAGGAGAACCTGGAGGAATGTTCTCCATGGGGTCGTGAAGAGTCGGCCGTGACTTTGCACTTGAACAATGACTGAGACAGACGATTGTTCAACAGTAGTTGCCTTGGTCTGTCAACCCTTGTTGTGAGTGAAAATAGGAAATGTATTTGCAGGAACACTTCTGGCTGTGCCTTCTTTCCCATTTTAAGGCACTAACCGACGGAAGCCAGCTTCACTCCCACGACCGCAGTGGCGTACAATCGGCTTGCCTGCAGTCGGGACAGACCGCTGCGCAAGTCTCAGCAGCAACCGAACCAAGAGTGACATGAAGACAGAAGCCGCTGGCGCTCACCTTGGCTCGGCCAGTGCTCTGAAGGATGTGTACCAAGGCACAAGCCATCTCCTCCTTGTTCCTGACACTGATCACGGGCTCCAAGACCGAGCACAGCACAGTGTAATTGTTGGTGACAAATTCCGCAAACTCTTTGTATTGCTCCATGGGGAGGATGGTGATGGTCTGGTACCGAGACTTGATCCGGATGGATGGCCCCGTCTTGCCCTTGTTGGGCGTCGGGGTGCTGATGGGGTACCACTTCTCCACAAACTGTCGGCCAGTCACGCTGGCTATAGGAATGTTGACCAGGCCGACGTAGTTGTTCTTGTCCTTCTTCTTCTTCTTCTCAACATCCTTGTAGATGTGGATGGTGATGCTGTAGATGGGCGGGAGGCCGGAGAACTCGAAGTGCTCTCCCCAGAAGATATTGTCGGCTTTTGTTTTGCTGGTGGTGCGAGCAAACAGGGTGTCGTCCAGGCACAGTTCGCAGAAGTACTTCTTTTTGGGGGCCAAATCCTTGGCTTCAATGATCCAAAGACGCAATACATTCTCAGCTCGCCGGCAGTTATCCTGGAGGAAAGAAGGCTTATTGAGACAGGTGAAGGCACAGAGCGTCACAGAGCTCGTAATTTTTATTACCATTGTTACGTTACTGTATTTCAATATCATCTTTATGCTTGAAACACCCTTAAAGGGGAGGGGGCTGATGACACCCAAAACATACATAGAAGCAATGATTAATTGGCCATAACAACATGAAGTACATCAGTTAAAAACAACAAACCTGGAACTTCCAGCAACAACACAGAGATGGAATGAGATTCACTCCAGAGTCAGAAGCAGCTTCCAAGTTACTAAAGGTTTGGCAGAGAGGATGAAATTTGTACGTATCGTCTGAGCACAACACAACAGTAATGAGCTGTTACGGAAGGCACTCTACCATTTGTTAAAGACAAGCTTGTGTGCAGCAGCAGCAGCATCCGCAACACTGACTCTCCAGGTGAACTCACCATGACAGAAGAGTATATGGGAGGCAGTATTTCCCACGTGCCCCAGACGCAAGCCATTGATGGCTTCTTAGTCAAATGCAGTCCCTTGAACTCAGCCACGAATTCAGTTGCGGGCACCACAGCTCAAAAGCAACCCCAGCTGCACTGCCCCGTTCTGGCTGAAACGAGGGCGCGCCTGCTTGACCAGCTGTTCCCGAACACTCTTCGAGGGCAGCCCTCGGGTCAGCACATGGTGCTGGGCAGCAGAGACCACGTCTGCACCCTCGAGAAAGGGACTCGGCCGACGAATCAGTCCAAGTTGAAAATCTTCACTCTTCAGTATGGCAGTCACATAGCCACTCACAAAGCCAAATCCAGGAGTGCTATCAAACTACAAGCCTTCTCCTTAAATTAAATGCAATCCCATTAAGACAGGCTCACTTCCCACTTCCAGATCAATGCTCTCAGACATGATTAGCATCTACGCCTTTTCTGCATTAAGTTCCTATTTATTCACACTAAGGGAGAACATTCGGGCGGTTACTCGCAAGATTCTGCCATGCCTGACGAAGACAGGGACAAGAAATACAGCACTCACCAGCACGGTGACATCATATTCTAAATCCTAGAGCAATCTCAACCGGCATCATGAGGACGGCCAAGATGGCACCCGGGAGACACTGACAGCTCCGCCTTCTGGACCTGCCGGACCAGGCCGGAGCAGAGGCACTGCAAAGCAGTCCTGTCACCCACGCCCCTGTGCAAGGAGGCGCGAAGGGTGCCAAGGGTTTTTTATGAACCCGAGAGGACAGGCACGCTTATGCTCCCCACTGCCGCTCTTCCATTACAGGCAATCCATCGAGGTAATGCAGCTAGTTTCTTTCCCAGATTTAAATGGATGAATGGCAAGTGAGGACACGAGCCTTGGCTATTCGGAGACAGGCAAGCCAAATAAATAAATAAATAAATAACTGCGAGAAGTCCAATGTGGTGGCAGAGGGGGGTGGGGGGGTGGGAGGAGTTAAGCTCTCCAGGATCCCAATTTGCCAAGCCTGCACTGGCGATGATTGACTGTGGGGGGATTTGAGACAATTCACAATTTTTCTGCTATAAGTCGGGCCATGAATTGACCATTTAAAAATAAATGCTAAGAAAATGTGTGCAAAATTGCAGCATTTCTGCAAACTGGACTTGTATGATTCAGGAAACGGTGCAATTTGTATGATCTGGAAGCTGGCATCATACGAGTGACATGTGTGCAAATCACAAAAGAAAAGCTTGACTTTCGGCTTCCAATTTGGACAAACCATGAGATTTGCAAAAAATTCCTTAGGTTTTTTTTCCCCTAAATTGGACAAATTGTTGCTGATCTCACAAGGCAGAATCCTGCCTGCACTGATTTGTTTTCCCACCATTGGATTCCAAGTTGGCAGAAAATCCACAGAGCTCAGGGAAGTTCGATTCACCAGAGTCCGCACATTCCCAATAGTAACCTTCATCACTATATAGTTGTAATATGGAAACTGGCAAAAAGGACGAGTGAACTCGCAATTGCTCCACAATACGATAGGTTCTAACTTTGGATAACTTTCCTTTTTTCATGAAAAACCAACACTGAAATTGCTAGCACCTGCCCGTTGGCTATTCTGTTGAAGAAAGTGATCTCAGCCGCTGGGTGCTTTTTGCAGCACGGCAGACAGTTAGGAGTCTCCTGGCGAAGGGAATCGTTAGCAAGGGTGGCAGGGGACCCTGTGCTGCCCTTTTGAAGAAGGCTCAGCAGAGCGTCATTTTGTGTTACTGAGCAGGTTTCCTCCTGGGCAGCCACGCTGTTGCGCATCCACCCTAATTAAGTGGGAAGAGTTTGCTCCAGCACTTGAACAAGAATGTGATTACTCAGGGTGCAGTGCAGGAATGGATGCTTTTCTGGGGCTTCACCTGATATGGTACCTTGTTCGGTTGTATCGCCCTGCGTAGGTTCTCCATCCACTTGTCTCTCTCGGCGGCAGAAGAGCAGCTGAAGCATTTACTGCCACTGGAGTAAGTTACCTAGGAAATTAAGAAAAGTTAGGATCAGCCAAGCCTATGACTGAGAAAGGAATGCGCACAGGGAAGAATGCACTTGGATGCCTCTCTCCTTTTTCATTTTCAGCTCTTTTTCTTACCTGCTGCCAAATGGTGTGACTTTCCTACTAAATAGACATTTTTACTTCTGCTTTAAAATCCCTTGCATGCGTGTTTCCTGATGCTGTACATTTGGTTGTCATACATTTTTTTAAGAAGTTAGTGCTGATTTTGGAGTTTTGCTGCAATTAAATTCTATTGATGGTTATGCATTGATTACTGAACTGATCTGGATCCAACTTACTGTGCACTTTGTACATGGAAGGTGAAATATAAATTAAGCGAGGTGCAAATGCCATGCAGGTTTAGGATGAAAAAAGCCAACAAGCCTCGGCCAGCCTAGATGGTGCAAAGCGATGTGAAAAGGGGAATGAACAAGCCTCTGAAAGAAAATTAGAGGTCTCCAAAGCTCAAGATTGGATGTTGCAGAGAAGTGCCATCTCCAAATTTAGAGCTGGAATTATCTGAGGAATTATCTGGAGGCACAATGGCACAGAAAATACGGGTTTCTCTTTTCCCTTTAAAATTTCCCAAAGATCAGAATGTTGTGATTGTTCCTTTATGGTGCTCAAGGAGAGCCACACCCGGGATCCTAATTGTGCTGACATTCTAGATACCAGCCTTGGGGGCACCGTCAAACAGCCACCTGTCGAGTCTCCTGGAAGGCTGCTTGCGCTTTCCACAGGGACTGCTGACCATAGCAGGTAACCCAGCTTAGTCACAGGGCCAACTCAGCCAGGAAAGACCGAAGCAAAGCAGAAGATGCTCCCCTTTCCTGCAGTACCAATAGGAAAGCAGGTTGAAATCTGCCTTGAGTTCTTCCTCCAGAGGAATGAAGTTGCCAGGGGAGCCTCCAAGGAAAGCCGGGACAGATTTTCGGAGGGCAGAAATGGAAAGCAGGCCAAGAACTCTCAGACAGTGAAAGTCTTCTATGGATCAACTGATTCTATACAATACAGTATTTTTAGAAACCACACCCCAAATATAGTTCTGCAAGGCAGTTGATTTCATTTAGTGTTTCACGTAATGAACACCAGAAGCACACACAGGGCCTGGATTGGCCCACATTTACTGTTAAGGACACACCTGGAAGTGTTGAATTTCAGAAAACGTATTTTTGTCAGGTTCTTCTGAAGTAATTATTTGACATAAATCCCATATATGGGAATATTTGGTTTGATGAAAAATAAGGTTAAGGATTTAAACTTAACTTACAAGGTAAAATTAGACAATCAATAGAAAAAGTTATGCTAGGTTAATGTAATATTTCTTTTAAACCCATTCCATGTAACTCAGAGGAGGATAATCACACAGCATTTTAAAGCACTATTGAGTTTCTTGAGTACTTCCTGAATTCTTTTTCAAAAAAGCACATACGTGTATGTTCCTCAATGGTTACAAAACACTAAAATCTCTTAAAGGATCAGATGCAAACCTGCAAGCAAAATGAAGTCCAGTTCGCCAGATTTTCTAACTGTGAGGCTCCAGTCCTGCCTCCAACTTCACACATTTGCAGCTCTCCTCCTTTTTAACCTGGGGAAGCATTTCCGTGGGCAGTTCCCCCTTCAAGGATTACTCTCTAAGGCAGGGACCTTTCGGGGTGCGAGCACGACGACGGAGTGCTCTCTTTCCACGGAAGCAGGCCAGGGTCGTGTTTCAAGAACACGCCTGAGACTTGTCAAGTCTTTTAATCCCCCCAAATTAATACTGCTGCTGTTTTAAGTATTTGTTTTGAGTGACTGTTTTTTTAAAAATTACCATGAAATCCGTTTTCTGTGATTTGTAGTAATTTTATTGAAAGTCTGGTGCTGAAAGGCAGGATCTGAGTTACTGGTATTATCTAATAGATGGAATGTGCCAGGAAAACCAGCAGATGGTTCAGGATTTTACTGTCCAGGCCTCTTCTAAGAGATACATGGATGTGGTTATTCCTAAAGCCAATTGCTCCCCAGAAACTATAATTTAAAAGCTCAATATTTGGAAAAAATGGAAGCTGTCACTACGGGACAGGCGACTTCAGTCAAAATGAAGCTATTGCCCAAGTTGCTGTTGATATTTCAAATGGTCCCTGTTCCACATACAGAAAGAAATATAGAGAAATCACAGGGAAAGGCAGAGCAGTTTATTAGTAATGGTAAAGGGGAAAGTCAGATACCAGAACAGAATGAAGATGGTCCATTTCTAGTTTCGAGTTGTATCTTGCAGTCGTCCACATTTGTCAGCAGATTTAAAGAGAAGACTCAATCTTTAAAGAGAGAAGGCTCAATCTGGTCTGTAAGAGGAGGGATCTCACGGAAATCTTTTACCATGAAGCTATTCTATTGATGCAAGTTACAAAATCCTCAGCGGCTGGCACCTGGGGCAATGGGTAGGCAAGCCTGCTTAATTTCAGTTTGCGCACTCAGAGAAGGACCCTGGCCTCTGTTTTTTTCAGGCATCCACCAGAAAGATTGCAAAAAGTGGCTGGAAATCAAAAGCTAGAAGAATCTGCCCACAGAATCATGACTGATGGCCAAAGATGGCTGCTGTATTCTTTGATCTGGTGCTGGGTTGCCAACACCATCCTTAGACGCGAGAGGGTAGCCCAGCTCTGGCGCCATGCTGCAGCAGCTACAGGTGGCTCCCAGCTTCCTCTCCCCAGTACTCAGTGCCATGTAAAGCAGGAAAGGTCCCTTCCTGCTGAAGGGTTGCTGCCAGCAGCCCCAAGGACCTGAGAGTCAACTGATGATCAGATAGTCCGCTCGCTCGCACTCTTCCCAGGGTAAAACCAAAGCAACTCCTTAGCTCACAGTTGTGAAATCCACAAACAGTGAGATAACCAAGCGATTTGAATAGATTAAGCAATGCAGACAGTTCCCCCGCCCACTCCTTCTTCTTAAGGGATCTCTCTGGGTTTTTGCTTTTTCTTACCTCAAAGCAGAAATCTTGACCAAGTATACTGCTATGAAGCGGCTTGACAAAAACTCTTTCTTCTGTCCCGAGGTCGAGGGTCTCTACAGCGCTGCCTGGACTCAGTAAAGATTCATGGGAACGAGACTCCTTCAGCTTCGGCAATCCACGGGACCTGTGTGAGGACAGAACGTGGTGGAGATGAAACTCCAGGAGGGGAAAGGCACTTTTTCCAGAACACCTTTTAAAGGATTGCATCCTTCTGAATATCGAGCTTGGAAATAAGAAGTTCCTGAAACATGCCAGACAAGATTTGGAGGATCTAGTAAATCCAGAAATTTAGAAATATTTTGCTTCTTTGTATTACGTATCTTGACAAATGGCTTTTAACCTAATGAAAATAAACACATGTATTGACATCTCAAAGACATGCTGGCTACCGGTTTGCACGATATCCAGAATTCTGTTAAGTAACATTCTTGCTGATACACTGAATCATTGTTCCCACACGCTGCCTATGCTTCTTCTAGCTGCAAAGTGAAAATGATATTGAAGGATTCTTTCACGCAGCCCATAAACATGTCCTGTACAGTAATAAAAGTTCTGCTCTGGAAGCTCTAATTGATTCAGATGTCACAGCTGCAGCCACTCCGTCCCCCAAGCAGCAATGCTGCCACCACCCAGTTCCATCTTTTCCACAATGCTATAGGGGGAGGTGGCCGAAGCACCGCGATCAGCTCACGCAGACCCGGCAAGCCAAGAACATCCTCGGCCTCAGAGGTTTCCCACCGCTCCTCCCAGCCCCCCTGGTCTCAACGTACTCCAGGCATTTCTGCACCCTCCGCCTGTCGGAAGGTTCCAGCAGCCTCGGCCCTCCTCCGTTCAGGTTGCTATCCAGGCTGTTCCTCCCATTCCCTCTGGCCTGCGCCATGGATACGACTATCATCACTGCCAGTAGCAATGGAGGCGGCGGCGAAGGCAGCAGTTCTGTGTAAATTGAACGCATCGCACAAGGAATGACAACAACTAGCAAGAAAGTTCAAGGCTGCTACAAGCGCGGCGGCCATTCCGCAGCAAGCCGAAAGGTGCCCATGCCCACCAGCCCAGCTCCATTAGTGTCTTTCACAAAGCTGGGTTTTAAGAAAACAGCAGACACACTCTAGTGTAACCGTGAGGCAGGCCTCGATCGCAGCACCTCCGCCTGCGCGTCTCTACCCTTCCCCATAGATGTATGAATCCATCCTATTGACCTGACGGAACTGTCGACGGCCTAATCATTAAGGAGCTTCCCATTTCTGTCCCTCAATTCATTCTAGCCTCTGCACACTGAGGCAGAAGCAAGCCGAGGGGGGTGAGCCAGCCTTCCTCGTGCTCCTTCCCCTTCTGGAGCGTATTTCCTACCTCTAGGATTAGCCACAGTCCAGTGTTCCAGCAGTAGTGCCAACAGTTGTGGTTAGAGATGTGTGGGAACTCGGTTTTGCTTGCAAAACATACAAACGTGCCGTGTTTGAAGCCCCCAAAGCAATCATGCCTGCAACGCGTGTCCATCAAAAAAGGCACTGCGTTCCCCTTTTGTGTGTGCTCGTGCTTGATCTGCACTTTCCCAATTCCCGTTTGCACAAATTTCTGCACAGACTGAATCGGCCCGGCTTTAGACTAAGAAGAAAAGCTGCACCAGTTAGGGGAAATTTACACAAATCTTTTATTGCGGCGGCTCAATTTGCACAATTCTCCTCCGCATGGAGCAAGCAGCAATCGCAAACCAGAACTTGGCAGGAGCGAAAAGGTGAGAGGAGCTCTGGAGCACCCTACGATCTCGGTCGCTGCCCGTTCGCCCATCCCTGGCTGTGGTTACGGCTCAGTGTTCCCACTTAACTCACGTCTACTCTGGTTACTGTCCGTAGTGGGGATTTGCATAATCCTGCTCCCTGCTGACTGCTGAACCATAGTTAAGTTGTATGCAGTACAACACGTACTCAGTATGTACCATTTGGAACAAACAAATCCATCAAACAAATGTGTGTGCACACAAACTTAGGCAAAATCGAACAATGGAACCTCCTCTTTCTAGCATACCATACCGTATACCTGGTGAAATCTGAAAAGGAATTGTGAGCCTTTAAGAATTTTTTTAAAAGGCTGACACGAAAACAAAGCAATTACATCAACCAGGGCTTGTCCTGTCCTCTATCAATGCCACCCGCGTGGCATCATCGTCAGGCAGCCCTGCAGCCCTGTCGCTGTAAGCAAGACTGCCTCGGCTCCAGGGGTGAACTTCATTTTCTGCTAAGCGTGGACGTTCCGATTCTGAAACCCACCCCTCCATACATTCTCCTCGCCCCTTCGAAAACAAGCTAGCTAGCTAGCTAGCTAATGCAACTTCTCCTTAAATCAGTGGATTACATTTTAAGCGATGGGCCACAACGCAGGGCTTTACATACAGAAGGTCCCAGGACTACAGATGTAAAGGCCAGGGGCGAAAAGGAAAAATGTGGGATTTCTGGATGGGAGGGAGTGGATTTTTCTATTTTTCCCCTCTACTGATTTTCCCATCTTTGTTTTTTTCTGGGCCTTCATAGCTTTACTCCAGTTTAAAAGGATTTGGTGGCAGATTTTGGGAAACAGCCTGAGAGTACGGAGGGCCACTGAGCAGGCTGGGGTGAGGTGGCCCAGGGATGCGAGCAGCAGTCGGCAGCTTCCTATGAAGAGAAAGCCTGAATAAGTACAGTATTTTTCGCTTTTTCAGAAAGGCATAGAAGAGTCTGCCAATACAGGTTCCTTAATACAGGTTCAGAAAGGCATACAGGTTCTGCCAATTTATGCAGCGAGTGGCAATGTCACACACGGATGCTCAGAGAGCACTGCAGGTCTAGCAAAACGGAGGCTGCAGATCCCGTCAGAACTTGGCCAGGAGATGGAAGCAATCACACCTATGCTATTCCGGTGTCCAAAGGAAGGAATCAGAGATTTAAGTGGGAATGAGGGGGGGCAATGTTTATTTTCTAATTTTTATCCTACCTTTGGTAGTGTTATTGCCACAGAAAGAGAGGGTTTGAACTATCTTAATAAAATAACAAGAAAAATATAAACAGGATACCAGGCATGGGATCGTATTTTTTGATGCTCAGAAATCTTTAGAGTAACCTTCATCAACATGGTACTCCCCAGATGTTTTGGACTTCAGCTCCCAAAACCCCAAGCCAGCAAGGCTAATAACCAGGAATGTTGGAAGCCAAAGTCCGAAACATACCAAGGGCATCAGATAGGAGAAGGTTGCTTAAGGGTTCCACAAGCCTCCTTTTCAGATAGCTTACTGCACACTAAGCTTAAATCCTTTTGTTGGCAGCGTGATGGTAAGCCACCTCTTCTTTCAAAACTGTGGCTCAGCTAAACTGCGCTGCAATTTTAGTAAACAGTGTCTTTGCGCAATCAGGATAGAAAGATAGGTAACACCGAAGCACGTTAAAATATTCTCCTGGATTAATTCTCTAGACCTTAAATCAGCTGCCTAGCGGCTGCAGTTTTAATATCCAGTGTCTCTTAACATCTGTTACTGAAACTTGTATCCCTTCTAAGATGGGCCTGAGCATTGTACCATCCAAACACATGGTTAGCTCTCCGGGAAAAGAAGCAGAACGCAACTGCTTTCCCTCCCAAGGTTGTCCCTTTTTCTGGCACTCCCTCTGTCCTTTGAACAGTAATTCCCATTACTCTTTCTTCAAGCCAGGTGAGATGTTTTCTGCTCAATTACCAAGTGTCAGGCTCTCAGCGGGCACAGCAGCAGAAGCAGGTTAAATGGCAGCAGTCCATATACCCCCTGCTCTGCAAAACTCGAATATTAAACACTGCTGGCCAAAACATGCTTAAGGGAAAAACCTTTAAAAATGTCCCTGTGTTTCCTGCTTTCACGTTTCAGAAGCAGCCCTGCTTTAGAAATCCTTAAAGGATAAACTGGCTGTCATTTCAGTTTATACATAGTAGATTACAAAATAACGCCAGATACCTGCTGATACCAGACGCAAACCGAAAGATTCAGCCATGCATTCCGTGTAGGTATGACCAGAAAAGCATAGCTCAAATACTAGTTTAATACTAATTGAAAGAGAGCTTTGGCTATTGTTTGGTATAGAAACGTGATAGAAAGAAGATAGATAGATGGACAGGTTTAAAAGGCAATCTAGCAAAACCCTCAATTCCGCCTATCCCCATTCTAATTGCTGCAAAGGAAGTCCCTCTGTCCAAGCTCCAGATCCCCAAAGACGGCAGGAAGCACCAGGGCATGAAGCCAAGAGCACGCGCCTGCCGCAGCCTCAGCACAGAGAGACGTTTAGCAGCAGGCACAGTGCTCCCGGCACGGCTCTGCCTAGCGCTGCTCGTCCAGCTACTCCTGAAAAACCTGGCACACCTACATGAAGCAACTGTACAGCCACCTGACCGAGCAGCCCCAGATCATGCCGGTGCCATGTGTCCCGGCACCCCCACACTTTCTCCTCCTCCTCCTCCTCCTCGGCTACATCGCAGGAGAGGGATCCCTGAGTGCAAAGGCGGCAGTGGCCGAATCCAGAAGCAGACAAGCGGCAGCTGCTTCTGCTACCGAGGTGCACAGGTTCTCCTGCAGGACGAGCCCGGGCACGCCACGCTGCCGGCACGGGCTGGGTCGGCGCCCTTCTCCTCGGCGTCTTCCGCGCGCACTGCCTCTTGCCCCTCGGGTGACACGAGCCGGGCTCCCGGTCTGTGCCCGGCTCACTCAGCCCTGGGCCGGTTGCCATGGAGCTGCATCTGTAAGGAGATTAGCGCAGAGACGCGGCCCTGGCGGCGCTCAGGGAGCCCTCGCCGCAAGCACAGCAGAGGTGACCTTTCCGAGCGAGCGAGAGGCCCCACCTCTCTCCCCGCAAGTTGTCTGGCGCAAGGGCCAAGCAGGAGCGGGCAGAATCATGCCAGGCCCCCCCCCCCGTGGCCATGTGGGGGCTGCACGGGGTGGAAAATGGCTCCTCGGAGAGGCTGCTGACCCCTCCCGCCAGGCAGGCTGAATCCTGGTCAGGCATCGCTAATGCGGAATATTGTGGCGCGCAGTATCATATCTGTAAAGATGGGATTAGGTTCATTTGGTCAAAACCAAATGAATTGTGCATATGGGAAGGATTATTTGTCGTTAGTCGTGAAGTTGCGACCGAC